GACAAACGGGACTTAATTAAACCAAAGAGCTTCTGCACAGCAAAAGAAGCTATCAACAGAATAAACAGACAACCCACAGAATGGCAGAAAGTATTTGCCAACTATGCATCCGACAAAGGTCTAATATCCAGAACTTGCAAGGAACATAAACAAATTTATAAGCAAAAACCAAACAACCCCATTAAAAAGTAGACAAAGGACATGAACAGACACTTTTCAAAAGAAGACATACATGTGACCAACAAGCATATGAAAAAAAGCTCACCATCACTTATCCGTAGAGGAACGCGAATCAAAGCCACAATGAGATACATCAGTATCTCACACCAGTCAGAATAGTTATTATCAAAAAGTCAAAAAATAATAGATGTTGGCATGGATGTAGGGAAAAGGGAATGCTTATACACTGTTGGTGGGAATGTAAATTAGTCCAGCCACTGTGGAAAGCAGTTTGGTGATTTCTGCAAAAACTTAAAACAGAACTATCATTTGACCCAGCAATCCCATTATTGGATATATTCCAGTTACCATGATTTGATTTTATGAATGTATAAGATTATCACATGTACCATGAAAATGTGTAGTTATGTATCAATAAAAAATAACAAGAATAAAATAAAATTCTATGTTCTGTCAGTTCCTGGGAAAAAAGGAAAAAGAAAGAGAAAGAAACTTTTCCAATTTTCTTAGAGTTTCTCCTTGCTATTTTTTACGAGTTTTACTGAGAGCCAGAAAAATGCGGGCTGTTGAGAGATGATGACTTTAAGTTGTTGTCTTCATTAACTAGTAAATACATACTGGGGCAACCCTGGCCTTTCAAATACTCTTTCAGGATCACATATACTCACGTCTTTTATTGTACCTCAAATCCTCATACTTACTATCTCCTGACATAGAATAAATCCAAACATGTGTAGCAAGATAATGTTTTTGGTCACTAACTTCTATTGTTTTCTGTATTTTTGAAATTGCTTTATCTCATTTAAGCCTGTAGCAAACCCTGTGTCATTTCGCCAAAGGGGAGCTTTGCAGAAGTATGTTGTATAGATTGGAGCAATCCCTGCTGGCCAAATTGCGTGTCTTTGGCATGGGGCTATATCTACCCCTTAGAAATAGTGCCTCTCTCTTCACCCAAAGGCACCATCTGCTCACCCAAAAGGATGCCCACAGTGCTGTGCCTGCCCAGAAGGCCATTCTCTTATTCCTGTGGGTTTGTGGGATTAGAAAAGCTAGGCACACCGAGGAAAATTGAATTTGATGGAAAAGGAAGCCTAAGGACATTGACAGAAGAGAGTTTCAGGTAAGAGGGATTTCTCCCAGAGCAGAAAGAGGATCTTTCAAGCAGCAAAAGAAGTCAAGGATTCTCATAAGCAGAGGAACTGATCAGAGTCCCCGAAACATGGCAGGATCTGAGAAGGAATGGGAGTCGCAGGACCTCAGCATCAGAGGGGCACACTTGAAGGGGTTACATGGTTCCATAGTGGATTTCTTCTCAGAAACCAGATAACTGGTATCGGAGTTTCCCAGTACCCTAGGAGAAGACTGAGAAATGGGGCCACCAAGAGGGGAGGTAAATGCCTAGACTAAGGTTCAGTTTCCCACCAAAAGGCTGGGTGGGAGCTCAGAGTCAAAGATTAGGTCGAGTAAACAAAATGCCTATTCCTTGCACAACTGAGTTTGAGCTCTGAGAGGCCTATCAGGTACACATGTCAAAGAAAAACATTCTCCAAATGGTCCTGACCAGTTGCTCAGCCATCCTTGAAAAGTAGGTTCGGAACCTTGTATTATGTGCTACTGTGGACCAGTATCTACCACGAAAACTGTCACAAAAGTCAATTCATTCGAATCTCAATGACAATTAAAAGTAAATTCTAATTCACCCTTCCGTACACATGGGAAAAGTGAGATCAGGGAGGTGAAGTAATTTGCACAAGGATATTCTGTGAGTAAATCACAGAGCTAAACTGCAAACCTCAATCTTTTAAATACCAAAGCCTATTTTTTTTAACTATACCAGTAGTTTTCTAACGATATTCCATAAAACCTATAAGAGAGGGCTCCAAATGTTCATCCAATTAGATTTTGTCTTTTATAGTTTTAACTATTTTTAAATGAATAAAAAAGCAACACTTGCAAATTCTACAACTTTGGCAGGCACCAGTACGCTAATTTTTGTTATCAGGTTCATTGGGTTTCATGTAGCTCTCAGAATAAAGCTTCTCCTACCACCTCTGGATACATGCTCGAACTCTTGTAAATGTGTCATCAGGAAGACTATAGTTATATTATATCTGAGGGAAGGCAATTAGTTCAGATATGTGAATATTCAGTCATGTAAAATGGTACAAACAGGAACAGAACTTAAGCAAACGTTTGCCACACTCAAATGCCAAACGTTAAATACCAGTTTGGAACAAGCTGCCATCTTGGCAAAAGAGAGCAATAATAAGTACATGGGTGCCTCCTTACATTTGGAAAGTATTCTATCATTGACATTTTAGCGTTTCTAGGATCAGTTTAATTGAATATTAAGTATACAAGGCAAGCTATTAAAAACTGGTTACCATGTTTCTCTATTCCTCATGTTTTCTGTAAGCTCGTATTAAAACTAGAGGCTCAATTGTGGGGGCACAACAACATCACTGGTGATAGTGTGCACTTCCAACTGATACCAGGAGGCACAAGATATCCAGTTGCCCCACTTTTAGCGATGCTATCATTGATATTAGGGTACAGGTGATATCAGTCTGCTCTATCATGAATTTCCCAATCAACCATTTACCTAATAGTTTTAAGCAGCCATTGATGATAATTACCTAGATCCATCCTTTCATTAGGGATTTTTTTTTAAATAGATAGCTTCCTATTATTTATTCTGCATTTTTAAGCTGTGATTCTCCTGTAAACAAGAACTTTTGTCAGCTATTAGATTACCCTGAAAACAGTCAAATTCAGAATGTAAGACAGTTTACAGGAAAAATACTCCAGTTTCTTCAACAAATAAATGTGGTTTAAAAAAACAAAAATAGGGGGATCCCTTGTGGAGTACAACAGACATATCAACTAAGTTCACCTGTGAGTCTTATTTGGAGATTGAATCAAAGACCAACTGTTTTGTTTTTTTAAGGACATGTTTAAGACAATCAGAAAAGTTGAAAATTAACTAGTTATTAGCTGTTAATTATGGAATTATGATTATCTTTTTGGTTGTGATAATAGTCCTTTCCGCTAGCTAAGCACTGAAGTATTTACTATGCAATGATATATTTTTAATTTGCTATAAAACGTTCTAGCCACCTCCCAAAAAAGGAGGGGTCTAGATTAAAACATAACCTCAGAAAGAAACATAACAGCAGAAAGTTGAGAGTTGTTGAAGTTGGGTTGATGGATACATGGGAGTTTATTATTCTATTCTTTAATTTTGTATCATATTTTGATAATAAAAACTTTAAAGAAATAAATTCAATTGAGTAGATCCAGAAATAGGTGAGAAAGATAATAAAATGGCTACCATTTGCAATTATTCATCTGTGTGTGAATCAAGATCTTCTATCACTCAGTAGAATGCATAAACTTAAACTCAAGTTTGGAAAACAGCCTTCAGTTTACTTCAAAACACCACTTAAGGTATTTGAAAGAACATCATAATAGTTCTGGAATTGATCATGATAGTCTTAAAACCTAGTTTCAAAAAATCAGTGATATATCAACACAGTACAGAGATCAGATGGGTTATCATCATCGTGTCTTACATAGCACATCTTATCCTGATAGCATTAGAAGATGGCTCATTTCATCACCAAACATAGAAACACAATTGTCTCTAGAACTCAGAATTTCCTCCTGAGTAGAGGGGAGTCCTTTCAATGACCCAAGATTTTTATGGAGAATTCCATTGTCTAACCTAGAGGTGAGAAAACTACAGCCAATGGGCCAGCCCGCCACACAGCCATACCTTTGTTGTCCACAGTTGCTTTCCCAGACACAATGGCAGAATTAAGTAGTTGCAACAGAGACCAGATGGCCTGCAAACCCTAAAATATGTATTATCTGGCCCTTTACCCAAAAAATGTGCCAATCTCTGGTCTAAATCAAAAGATGAACTTTAAGATTTGGATTTTAGAAGGTTAAAATACATGAGATGAGGGCAATACCTGTCTAAAATTTGAATATCAATATTTCATTAATATTTTCTGATTTGACTAAGGACAGAATTGGGGAGAAAATCAGTCATGCAATAACATTTTCACTATCAGTCAAAGTAACTGTGGAAGTAAAACAAAATAAACCCGAGCAGGATCAAAGCACAAAACTATTTGACGAATGTTATTTGAATTCTTGCATAGCTCTTTCATTGGTGAGTCTGTAGCTGTTGGTAGTTTTTGGACAGGCTCCTGATTTTACCAATGTGCTCTGCCTCAGGGTATGTCCATGTGGCCCATTGCTTTATGGAAGACATGGTTAGTCTTCCAACAGAAAATGCAAGCAAGCACTTGGAACAGAACAAGTTTTGCTGCATCTTTGAAAAGGAGGGAGGAGAGATTCAGAGTGAATTTGATAACTAAAATTTAGGTGTGTGCACAAGAAAATGTTAGTGAAAGAGGAACAAAAAATCATGGCATGTGTTTTCTCCTGTCAAGAGAATGAGGAGGCAAGGACAAGAGCAGGGCACAGAAAGTCTCTGCTAACAACAGGAGACCTGTAGTCCCCTTCCCATTGGAATTTAGGAACCTTAGACTTGCTCTGAGTAGGCATATGAGGGCCAGATCACAGATCACTTGAAACTAATTCACTAGTTTTCCAAAAGGCTTACAAAACTTGTGTGGTAATGGTATACATTCTGCAAATCCGGGAGAAGGGAATATTCTAGATTCTACTATTCCATAAAAATGTTTTATGTTATTATTTCACTAAGGCAGCATGAGTCTCTTTCCCCAGGATGGCACCCCAAAAGGCTAATTTAGGACTGAGCAAAGAAGATAAATGGGTCCTCATTATACCTTCAAGATATGTTCATTGGATGACTTGTCATCAGGGGACACATACAAACGGATGAACACAGAATTGCTGTATTGACCACGAAACGTTGCAAGTGTCTGCAGAAGGCTGAACTTTCTCTCTGACCAAACCCCTTCAGGGCCAATGTTAGATTCAAGCACGGGCCAGCGGAAAGGTGAATGCCGTAGGATGTGTAGCAGTGGCCTGGCATCTGCTTTTTCAATCGCTTCTGAAAGGGAGCAGATATGAAGAGAAAGTTAGAATTGCAAACTGGATCAACACACTAGAATTCAAGTGCATCTTCTCAAGACAAAATTCCCATAAGGCTCCAACTTAAAATTTCAGCCGTTAGGGAGTAGGTAAAAGAGGTGGGGTGAGATGAGCATAATCACAGAGACAGAACTACCTACAATCCACACTTCAATGTGACTGTCTACATCTAGTGTTCTTGCCAGGACAGTTGACCAGGGAAACTGCTGGATATTCACTACAATAAACATGGACTGTCTACATGGAACCCAGTCAATGAATAATACTTGGTGGGACTAAGGTACAACGCTAACTAAAGGAATGCCTCAATAAAGCCAATCACTACCCAACGAAGAAGTGATGCTTCAGATTCCTGTCTTTTATTGCTCTTTTCTAGCTCACCACATGATACCCCAAATCCTAGACCAGTTGACACACTTCCCACAGGCACTGGCTTCATCCTGCAATGGCCTTGAGAAGGCAGACTAGGTCAAGTGACCAGTATCTGTTCTAATTCCAATCAGACCCAAGGTGTTGAGACAGGGCTAAGGACCCAACAAAGATGCCTGTTAGGCTGACACAGGAACCTGGCAAGCCTAGGAATCTGGATTTCTCTAGGCTCTAGTAGGTGCACTCCCTCCCAGTCTCTTTCTCAAGCCAGACTTGGCCTGGCTTCTGGATTCTGGTTTCTGAATCAGATACAGTGGAGTTTGCCCTGCTGACTTTTTCTAAGTTTCTCAGGGAGTAAATGATACCCAAAGAATCCAACCCATATAAATAAGATGATTTTCTCCACCAAGCCAGTAACAACATTAACTAAGATGGGACTAGTCAAAATCCAGTCTTTGACAATCATTCCTTTAACACTTTTAAACATTAATAGAATTCTTAGTAGTTCTCTTCTTCCTCAAACAATATATTAAAACATTAATAGAACTCTAAAGGATAGGTATGGTAAATATTTTATTTAGTTTTCTTCATCACTCACTCTCATTCATGCAGGATGAATAAAGGATTTTGGCTTTCTGTATGGCTTCCGTGTCCCGCCTTCTACTGATCGATTTCTCCAAAAGTTCTGGGAAGGTTAAGAAAGGATTCATTAGTATCTACCCACATGTGCTGCCAAGTTGGAAGTCATTCGATAATCACAATTCCAACCTCCAGAAAATTAAATATAAAGACAGACAACCTTGGAAAACACAGATCTATTAAAGATATGCAGACAACAGAACAGATTCCAAGTTGCATGAGGTTCAAACAAAAACAGTTTTACATTCTCTTATCCAGGGCACTCCTAACTCAAAAGAAACCAAAAGTTCAATTTCCAACTGAGACTGGATCTTCTACAGGGGTCAATTTCTTCTGCCACCTACACAAAAGGAAACAGAATTCATTTGTTCAAGAATCAAAAATAACTGAATTCTGTCCCTTGTTCCTGGACCAAGTAATATTCTCAACGGAGCTAATTTCATCGGGGTTGTGTTTCTTGAGATTTCTCCACAGCCCAGTCTCTCAGGGAGGTCACCCGGAAGAAATTTCCCATTAGAAGTTTTATCCAATGTTGAATAAACATGCTGTGGACATGGAAGAAGTTCTTTAGACAGGAAATGGAGAGACAAGATTGGAAAATCTACCCGAATTGCCTGAAAACTTGCCCATTTACACATGCAAAGTCCTAGACATCTAAAAGAGTCCGTGTGTATACAACGGTTGCCAGCACAGACATAGGCCCAACTGGAAAATAATTTTCTATTTATAAAATCACTAATAATAATGTTTGAAGGTAGAAAATGATAGTTGTCACTATTTCATTAAATAAGGAAAGAGGAAAGCCAGGACTCAATGAAAACAACCGTCTCCCGAAAAAGAGAACGTTGAACATACTTGAGAGTATCAGTCTACCAACGTGAAGCCAAGATGAAATATCCCTGTGGTGACTGCAGCACCAGGTCACTGCCTTCACCAAACTATGTCAAACTGCCTTGTCAAGGCATTTGGGGAAACAACCTAGCAGCCATCATAACCACAGTATAACAGATGTTCCCATGATACTCTGAATAGCTTCAAGACACAATGTACAGCACTAATTAAATTAATACATAATTATATATCTCCTGAAGAGGAATCTTCCTTCTAAACTAGAAGTTCTACAGTTAAAAAAAAAAAAAAAAATGCAACCCAGAGCTCCTGCCCAGTTTTTTAAAAATAAGCACCTATACCTAAAACGAGTCCATATAACTAGATAGATTCCAGTGAAATAAATTAAATTGGGTTGGATGTATTTTCAATTATTTCAGATTATTTGGTGTTTCTTTCTTGTGTATCATCATAATAATAAAATCAAGACAACTAGCCCCAAGGATTTTTTTTTTTTTTTTTTTTTTTGAGCGAGACAGTATCCACCTGTCGCCAAGCTGGAGTGCAGTGGCATGATCTCATCGCTCACGCAGCCTCCACCTCCCGGGTTCAAGCAATCTCGCTGTCTCAGCCTCCGAGTAGCTGGGATTACAGGCACACACCACCACACTCAGCTAATTTTTCTGTATTTTTAGTAGAGATGGAGTTTCACCATGTGCGCCAGGCTGGTCTCAAATGCCTGACCTCAGGTGATCCGACTCACCCTTGGCCTCCCAAAGTCTGGGATTACTGGCGTGAGCCGCCGCACCAGGTTCCCAAAGAGATTTTTTTGAAAGGAGAATCGTGTTTTTTCACACACAATCAGGCAAAACGAGCGTAACATTTTCATTATCTCATTAGTATTTTACACACAAAACAGAAATTCTCCTGTGCCACCTTTCTCTAATACCTTTCCAAAGCAACACCACAGACATTAACGAGCGTGAGTTTGAGGACATGTAGCGTTAAAAAAGCGAGGATGAGAGATATAATGACACAAATTTATTAGGGTTGTAGATTTGATTTTTATAACAAGAGCTTCATAAGTAAAACAATACCACGTGTCCGCTCAGAGAGCATGAATGTCCTAAGGCCAAACAAGCCAGGAGCGAACAGAAGAACTAAAAGCATGAAACATTTACCCTGTGTCGCTGCGCAAGGCGTGCCTATTATCACAAGGGAGGGGAGCGAAGAAGAGGACCCTATGCAAATACACAGGCAACTTGACAAAACACTACCATGCACCAGTAATCACACTTCGCTATATGTCAAAATTCTGGTTTCTGTACCAGAATTTGGCTTTTAAAACAGATTCGGCTATCACAAGTTCCTTGTCATACCCTTTTCCTTCTCTTCTTTCCTTCTCTCTGAGCCCAGGCAGACAGGAGAGCATTGATATGCAGACAGTGATGTGGCAATCAGTTGACAACATCCATTTTACGTATCTCTGCATGTGAATTAGCAGTAAGAAGAACAAAATGTAGCCTGGAGAGTTAATGAGTAGAAAACAAAGCCTGCCTACCACAAGTAATTACTCAAGTTATTAAAATGTCCCCAAAGCATTGAGAAAGGCTCATGGGTCACCCATACAGGGGCATTCCAATCATAGCCTGTGTTGTTTCTTGGAGGATTTCTCAATCCCCAACCCACCCCACCCAGGTATTTCTTACCACCTTACAACCGCAAAGGACAACTGCAGTTCGTAAAACTGCAGGCCAGGCACGGTGGCTCATGCCTGTAATTCCAGCACTTCGGGAGGCTGAGGCGGGCAGATCACGAGGTCAGGAGTTTGAGACAAGCCTGGACAATATAGTGAAACCCCGCCTCTAGTAATAATACAAAAATTAGCTGGGCATGGAGACGCACACCTGTAGTCCCAGCTATTCGGGAGGCTGAGGCAGGAGAATTGCTTGAACCCGAGAGGTAGAGGTTGCAGTGAGTCAAGATCTCGCCACTGCACTCCAGCCTGGGTGACAGAGTGAGACTGTATTTCAAAAAATAAAATAAAATAAAAATACTATAGCACAGCAAACCTCAGACTTTAAAATTGGTTTGAGAAGTTCTTCTGATCATCAAATTTGAAAACTAAGTATGTTTCTTCTCACCATGCTCCATCAAATAAAAAAAAAATTTTTTTTAAAGGCAACATAATAGACATGTTGGGGGGGGGTGCTTTGGAATCACACAGACATGGGTTCCAGCTGCAGCTTGCTGCAACTTGCTAGCTGGAATTCTAGCGAGTTATTTAATCTCTCTAAGCCCCAGTTCCTTAATCTGTAAAGTCAAATAATAAGAGTACATGCTTCCCAGGATTGTGCTGAGGATTTAAAATTTTTAAATGCACAGAAAGCCCCCATCTCGGTGCCTGGGCACATGATAACGGGGATCAATAAGTGGTGACTTAAACAGGATTACAGGCAGAATTAGCCCTATACAAAACTGTCAAGTAATCAAGCTTGTTTCCAGTGCTTCCTCCATAATTGTTTTTGTTCCCCTGCTTGCTTCTCAGGATATTGGTGGCCAAAGGACTTACGCTAACCTAAGACACTGCCAGGCTGTGTGTAGGACTATTTCACAAACTGGACCTGCTCTAGCCACCTTGCAAAGCCCCATGCTCTCAACATTTCCTCTGCTTCTATAGTAGAGGTAGTTCTAAATGGGGAGAAATATTTTGCAATCAGTGTTAACCTCCAAAAATATTTTGCTCACATTCTTCATCCTGGACAACAAAGCATTTTTTTTTTTATGTAAACTTTTTCAGTGAAAGTACAGAAAAGTACACAAATAATACAACACACAGAAAAGTACACAGATCATAATGTGAAGAATGTTCACAAAGTTAACATGCTCAAGTAACCAGCATTATTAATTACTGGAACCCCAGAAGCCCCTTGTGCTCCCTTCCAATCACTACCCCCAACCAAGAAAACTAACATCCTCTATGGTAAAATACTTATTCAAGTCTATATCACATATTTATAGAGCAATCTACCTTTTTGTTATTGTTTTGTAGAAGCGTTTTCTATATTCTACATACAAGTCCTTTTTGAATATATTATAAAATATCCCCTATTACATAGACTTCATTTTTAATGGTATCTTGTAAACGCCACCCTAAACAAACAAGACGGCTGACAAAGAAAGAAACGGATTCTGACCTCAACAGTAACCAGCGTTCAACCACAATTAGATAAAAAAGACCACAAAATGTGATAACATATAGTAAAGAGAAGACGTAATAAGAAACACACAGAAACACAAAAATCATAGAAAGATACAAATTATGCAGCCCAGCTAACACACTAACAGACAAAATTACCCCACTTCCCACATACATACACACCACAAGGAACAACCTCCATCACACCAACTATACCCAAAGACATGACATAAAGAGTAAAAACAACAGACTCAAAAAGAACAATTTATTCAAGAAGACACACTCAAACTAACAAAATAAAAACACATATAAACACCAACAGAATGGGACATGGGTCCTGCCTCCATCACTTCCCCATCTGCTGATACACATCACACACATTCATTTACACAATAGACATACAAAGCCAATAACCCATCAAGTATACAATCAGCATCAACAAACACTTCTGAACAGATCACATCTTAAACACATATCAAGACGAAACACACTATTTAACACCTTCAAATCCTCCATACACACAAACTTCGGACTATAGACAATAAATAATCTCCACTCCAATTAAAATGTAACAAACATGAACCTTGAATATCACAACCCCCACAGCTCACACCGTAAACGACTGAATCAATTTCCAACACCCACTGCGGTCCGTGGCCGGTGCGCACACTGTCAATCCCCTTTTTTGGGAGCCTAAGGCGACACTGGTTAACCCGCACGCAAAATTGAAGGCACCTGGGTCACAGATCCAAGACGCACCTCTATTGTACCCAAAAAAAACGAAAATATTCCGACCCACTTCAAAAAACTGATTCTTTTCTCTCAATACAACGCAAGTGCAGCCCCCTTCATCGAAACCCCTGATAATTAATGCCCTCCATCTAAATTGTAAATTTCAACAGAAAGGAAGGAAATTTACCCTGAGCAGCCACTTCTCGTGATTTCTTATTCAACAATTGTCTATGTTTACCATTTCGGAGAACCGTGTTGACACCATCCGTTCGTTCTGCGTCAGTTAC